TAGATATGAAGAATATTGCTAGTATTTTTAATGCAATCTTGCCAACAGCAGTGTTTTCTGCATACACTTGCATCCAGAACTCTCTTGGCTCCCTTCGTAGTATTTAATATTCAAAGTGCTGTCTTCCCTGATGTACAGAAGGTTTTCAAAAGCTTAATTTGTCATCCCAGTAGGTTTACTTTTCGGGTCAGATGAAAACGGGCTTGTTGTCTAGCTGTAGACATCCTCGCAGTCAATGTTGGGAAAATATTCGACAATAACTTTTTCTAAACCTTCCACGTTAACGCTGGTAATGCGCGTTCACGCTAAGAAATTAACTTTTATCAATTTTCTTAGCGTTAACTTCGAAGTTACATACGTTTTACTGATTTACTCTGTTTACTTATGGGGTTTTCATGCAAATTGCTAGACATTCTAAAACATACATGTCACCAATAACAAAAATTTCGACGTGCTAGAAAAAACCAAAGATGTATTTTAATTTCGCAGGCCTCTGTTAACTTCGCAGCGTCATCCAACACGGGTTTTAAATCTAGTGGCGGCATCTTTCTAGTCGCCAGGGAGTACCGAGGGATCATACAGTGACTTCTCGTGGCGTTTTCTGCCTCTTGCTTCGTTCTAGACATCGGTCTGCGGCTGCTCCATCATTGCAAATATCCGCACACTTGCGGACCTTTCAAACCATTTTTCTGTACAAATTTGTCGATAGCTTTAAAAATTTCCTTATCTGGTTGTGTTAGTCTCAAGTACTTCGCTCATCAAAAGTTCTTCTTCGATTTGCATTGCCAATGGGTACCTCACTAACACGAGAAGAACATTAAGTCCCACTAAGTCGGTACTTTCGTCAAGTTGCAAACTCAAAAATTTCACAAGTTTTCAAACTTTTTATAAGTTCGTTTTCGACTGCCTCTAAAATCGTGTTGATTCGCTCTTTCACAATGTGATTGTGAAGTTGCGCTTGTTACGAGAACAGCCCAGCCAGCAAAAAATCCAAAAATTAATCCGAAACGGAAAGTACCGAAAATGGTTGTGAAAAGGGTACGTTTTCGGCTAGTTTCCTGAAAATTTTCTTATTCAATTTCTCGCTGACAAAACGTACTGGGGAACTACGCTTAAGAGCGAAATACACCACGCAACAGGTTTGACAAACCAAGCGAAATATCCCTTTGCTACAAGCCATTTGTGTTGTGTATGGGGTTTGACGAGCCGCTGTAGGCAAAAATCCAAAATTGTTTGGTATTTTTGTAAAGACAATTTATCCACTAAAAAGAATTGAACAGACATTTCCCTTTAAAATTAATTATATCCCGCCAGGAAGCCACTAAAGTCGACAAATTTTATACTAAGAATTTTAATAACAGCATAGCCATGCATAAGCTCTTCACAGAAAAAGTGTCAAAAATATATTCTTTGAAATAAAATGGTGGTTTGACGTTTCTTGTTTCATATACATAGTAGAGAATTACAGGAATTAAAATTTTGGAATAAAATTAAACACAGGGTGTCCCTGCGGTATTCTAGAAAAACAATTTTTTTATTTCAAAAAATGGTACGCCATGTCTACCAGGCGCAGCCGAACAGAATTTTCAATTAACGGCCAAATATAAATAAAATAAATGTATTAAAGGTAGTATTTTTCGTGCGTGGGTCTTTTGGTCTATTTTGCCTATACGTATAATGGAATAATGAATCTTGGAAGTTTTAGTAACTAATACTATTGGTTTATAGAAACTTTTGCATACGAAAAATTTAGTACATGTAAAATTAAAAAAAAATTAAATTGGTAAAACTCATTTGTTCAATACAGAGCTGGGCAATTTTTGCTCGCGAGGAACGCCAGCATCGCAGTTCGTATATGTACACAGAAGCAAAGCAGCAAATTTCGATTCAGTCTAGAGCTGGGATACTATCGATAGTACCGCCAGTCGATAGATTTCGAAACGATAGTTGAAAACATCGATAGTATCGATAGTACTATCGTCGTGAGAGGTATTGAATTGAAATGCTAAATTTCTTGAAAATTAAAAAAGTAATAAATTTATAAAATTTATAAATTACTTTGTAAGTTAAAGGGATTATATAAATTTGTTTAAATTTGAGTGCATCAAAAAGAACTTCTTATAATAATAAAATAAAATTATTCATTTATGCGTCTTAAATATATGTATATACTTATATACATAAACTTGCGTCCCCTTGAATAGCGACAGGCAAAATCTAAATTTATTTTTTATATGGAAAAATTAAATTCGGATTTTGTTTGTCCCTTTTGAAATGCAAAGAAGAGAAATTGGCTATAATAATATATTTCTAATACTACAAAACAAACAAAACAAAAGATATTCGTTTAAATTGACAACTCATACTTATAAAAGTTCAACTGAGATCAAATACAGAGGCGCATATCAAAATCCGGACAAAGGAAAGTATTAACATTTTACCATATCATAACAAAACGAATAAAGTACTGGTCAAAATAATAGCACCACAACATTTTTAGCAGTTTTGACTATTTTCTTGTTTGTTTAGTGTCTACTAATTTTTATATAAAAGTTCTACTAAACATAAAAAAACTATTTCTATAAAACTAATTTCTATAAAAATTTTGTGTAAGCGGTTTTATAGCTTATTAAATTTTACTATAACTCAGTGTAAGCTTATAGTTGCTAAAAATTCCAATTCCAACTAAAATTTTTTTTTTGCCGACCGTATCGTTAATTTTCTTGGATAAAAAAAAAATAATGTAATGTTAAGAGATGTAAAGAAGACAGAAGTTTTGCTAAAACCGACATCGATAGTTTTCAAAAACTATTAATAGTGGCGACAGTTTTCAACTATCGATACTATCGATAGTATCCCAGCTCTAATTCAGGCTGCTTGCAGATTTCACCAAGGTAACATCATGCTCGGCTGTGGATTGTTTTTCTTCGTAATTTTAGCACGCGCTTGCCACATTTTGTGTATAAAATTTACAAAAAATCCCCAAAGCAAAAAGTGGTGTGTTTTTTCTTAGATTGGTTTTTGCATGCATTTGCGTCGATTCAAACACAAAATAGTGTATAGGGTCGAACTTTCAACAAGCCGCAATATCCGTTATGCGGTTATGCCTACGTATTTTTAATATAAGCAAACTGTATTTTTCATGCCGTGTCCATTAAAACATATAAAATGAGCTGCTTGCTGACCAACGTTCAATAATTTTGTAACAAGTTCCATGATTTTTATAAAAAAGTGCATAAATTGCATGCCATATTTTAAAATAATTTGTTTCTATCTAAAGAAATCGATGTAGAAATTTAAATGCTGGTTTATGCGCATACTTAATGAATAATATTTATAAGTTATTATAAGTTTTTAGCACTAAATTCCTATTTATATGAAAATAATAAAATCTAAGCAACGAAATCATCTGGCCGGCCAGCATTTCAAAGATTAGATTCCAATAAAATTGTGTCCAGGTATTAAACAAATGAGTTAAACCTATTTAAATTGTTTACAATTTTACAAGTATTAAATTTTTCGTATGGAAAAGTTTCTATAAACCAATAGTATTAGTTACTAAAAACTTCCACGATTCATTATTTCACTATACTTCTTTTTCTTCTTTATTGGTGCTGTAACCGCCTAAGCGATTTTGGCCGAGTCCAAAACAGCACGCCAGTCATTTCTCTTCTGTGCTAACTGACGCCAATTGGAAATGCCAAGTGAAGCCAAATCCTTCTCCACCTGGTCTTTCCAACGCAGAGGAGGCCTTCCTCTTCCTCTGTTACCAGCATCGCGGCCCGCGTTGAATATTTTCAGAGCAGGAGCGTTTGTGTCCATTCGAACGACATGGCCAAGCCAGCGGAACCGCTGAATTTTAATTCGCTGCACTATGTC